ATGCAGATGAATCACTATCTGAGAATGATTCCATTGATGAAATTGAAGAACTTCAAGAAGAATCACAAGGAAGATCGTGAGGAAGACCACGAGGAAGATCACAAGGAAGGCCACAAGAAAGATCACGAGGATCCAAAAGAAGAACCAATATCACCCATTCTAACCGACCAAGACAAATTCCAGGTCTTACAAATGTTACTGTACATTTTCTTCCACCAAATATGACTGCTCATATTCAGCCTATGGATGCTGGCATTATTAACAGCTTCAAATCAAAATATAAAAAATTGTATTGTCATCATTTACTTACACAATTTGAAAAAAATGAAGATCAAAGGTAAAAGTTTTTTTTATATTTATGTATTTATTATTTTATCTTATCTAAGTATCTAACTATTTATAAAATATAGAAAACTTAATATGAGAGAAGCCATCAATTTTATTGCTGAAGCTTGGGAGGATATTAGTGACACTACTATAAAGAACTGCTGGAGAACTACTAGAATTATGCCTGAAATAGATGAATTAGAAATGAGTGAACAAGAAGAAAGTGAGTCAGAAAATGAGATTGACGATACTGCGGCATTAATTAATGATTTTTCTAATCCAGAGGCTCAACAATTAGTACATAATATTGAAGAATATGCCTACATAATTGATCAACCAGCTAGAACGGAGGATGTATTAACAGACAATATTATTATCAAAATGGCTATTAATGAATTTCGCGATGATGATAAAACTGATGATGATGAGGGATCACCACCACCTCCAATAACTGTTACAGAGGCTGTTGAAGCATTGGAAAAAGTTATAAGCTACCAAGAAAGTCTTGAAGTTGGAAAGGGATTTGATGAGAATGGATTAAAAATGTTGCGAAAAAGGCTTAAAGAATGGCATTATGAAAGGGAAAAAAATAAAAAACAATCTTCACTTATATCTTTTTTTAGTTGTATTAATGAACCTGATATCAGCATCACACTCTAGATTCATTTTTTTTAAAACTAATTCATAATATTAATAACAATAATTATAAATAGATACATACATTAATTCCATTTTATTAAACAATAATAACGATAGTATACATTTATTAATTACATTTATTAAAACATATAAAAAAAACCGTTTATAATAATAAAATCGGCATTTTTCGCGTTACCTTAGGATCTGAAAACTAAATTATTATTGGCCGATTTAAAATTCACATGATACGTGACTTTATAGAGAACAATTCATATAGGCGGTCAATAAAAAAATGTGATAGTGACTATAATGCAATTGTGCCTATACAGAGGTAAAATAAATAGTAAAATAATTGGTAAAAATATAAATGTGACTATGTCGATTTTGTGACTATATGGGAGGTGACTATAAAGGAGTCTGACTGTATCTTGGATTATAGTTATCAAATACTCGGCAGGCAGATGAAATTAATAAATAACGATATAATAGTATTAAAGCAACAATTTGGATACATATTTATAATCTGGAAAAATTCATTTATTTTTTATTTATTTTTTTATTCACAATGTCATTAAAATTTAATGAACAAAATATAGTAACGTTTTCCTGCCCTTCTTCGTCATCAACCCTTCCCTCCAATTATGTGCAACAAAATGTGAATCTTTATTTCATTCCTGAAGGATATGATTTCCCGCTTGTATATAAAAAAAATTTCTGTGCTTTGTCTCATTTTTGGAATTATATAATCGACTATTCTACAGAAACAACTTTCATATTCATATAAATTTTCCGATTTCATTGGGAGATTCTTTTCAATAAGTTTGATAAATTTTCTTGCTCTGACTGCTACCAATGATGTTTTAATATTGGTAGTAGTTAGAGCAAGAAAGTTTATCAAACTTATTAAAAGAATCTCTCAATGAAATCATGAAAAATTTAATGAATACGAATATTTCATTCCGAATCTTGAATAAAATAATAAATTAAGAAATTTTCGTATATACAAACCAGAAGAAAACAAGAATTTGAGATACCTATGTTATCAGAGATCCGAAAATTAAAAAAAAAATAAAAAGATGAAGGATATGAAGGCAAAATATTTTGGATGATAGAAAAAATTAAAAATTTTATTTAATAATGTCATAATTATTATTAGTAGTCCGAATCATTTTTTTTTTTTTAGTTGAATTATTTTTATTTTTATAATCGATTTGATCCGATTTAATCGAATAATCGGATAATCGGATAATCGAATAATCGAATAATCGAATAATCGTAATAATCGTTTATAATCGAATAATCGAATAATCGAATAATCGTTTATAATTGAATATTAATCTTCGAAAGTTTGTTTGATGTGAGGATGATCTTCCTGAATTTGTCATCATTTTGATTACATAAGGTGGGGTTTGTTTTGTCTATTTCGGATATTCGTTGATTATTAAACAAAGTTTAAAATATTTAATGAGCTCAGATTATTCGTTGTTGTATTTATACATAATAATTTTTGAAAAATCTCGATCATCAGATTTATATTTTTGACATACAGAGGATGATAATATGAATCTTCATTCCGCCAAAGAATGTTTCCATATTCTTCTTTTGAATATCTAAACAAATACATTATGAAGACCTTGAATGACTGTTTGATTAAAGATACAAATAGAGATATTATTTGATCAAATTAGAAATCAATGAAGTTCAATATATTAAACAACTTAATAGAATACTAACAAATTAATATATGAATTAAAGAATTAAATAAGAACTGTAAAGTTTGCAGACCCTTTGAGGTCGTTACAATAAAGCCATTTAGTTAAACCTTAAAATTTATTGCTGTCCCATATTAGAAAATCTTCATATCTTAGTAATACAATAATTGCATTAATCTAAATAAGGAACATAAACCTAGCCAGTTAAAATAAACATATGTATTCTTTGCTTTAAGCAGAAGGCAATGAACAAAGTTCATCATGATTAAAATAAGCAAACAATAATAAAAAGAGTAAAATATCAATTTTGAAACTCAATATGTTCTTATTTAATCGCAAATTCCTGGATTTCTTCAATTGAATTTATTGTGGTCATATTTTATAGTAACTTTAAAAAGTTAGTAAAGCAAATATAACAATAAGGTATCCTGTTGTATTAAAATATTGGACGAATTAAAATCTTAATTTGTTTAATTTGTCTAATAATAAAAGAAACTTTAATTTCTATTCTATGGAATCTGATACAAATAAGTAATTTTATAGCATTGGAATTTGCACACAAGAATTTTTATTAAAAGTTCCATTTTTCAACTTAGGACCAGATTACAGAGTGCATTTAAGGGGGGTGCACTTATAGAGAGTCGATTGTTTTGAAATTAAAAAAATGAGCGTTGTATGTGATTTATTGTAAATTGTAATTAAATAATAGATTAAAAACTAGTTTATTTTCCTAATTTTCAATTATTGACAATTTTTTTTTAACATAGTTTTTGATTTTCTCATTATCGTTTACTATTTCGTTAAATTGGTCATTGTTGACTCCATCGATTTTCAAGTAATATTGTTTAGTAATCATAATCCAACATTATATAGCATCACCTCCTTCTTCAACAACAATACAATCAATTGAGCAATTATCTAACATAATAAAAATATATATCAAATACCACCAAAGGATAAGCGAAAGTAGAATTTCATAAGATTTCAAAGAAATTTTAATTACGTTTTCATTAATTTGTCTATTTAAGAAAATAAAATTACAATCAGAATTTTTGAAATCAATTATCAGATATAAGAACAATATTTATCGGGTTCAGATAAAAAAAATTCTTGGAAATATGACGACGACAAACAATACAAATCATTATTTTGTTAGGCAATTTCGATATACGTGTTAAATAATACGTGTCTTTATAAAATAAAAAGATAATACGTAAAAAAATTTTGCATAATAAAATTCATTTGATATATAATTCACGCGTTATGTCTTTAGCTGTATATTAGACTTTTAAATTCTTTGGTTCTTTTGGTTCTTTTTGATTCTCATTTTAAAATTTTACATTTCATAATTTGACACAACACAAATAATAATAAGAATGGAAAAAAAGATCAAATTAAATTCTGACGAAATTTATTATATACTCGAATATCTCGAGGATGATTATTCCACTTTATATAATTTTCTTACTGTAAATAAATTATTTTGTTCATTGGTTGTTCATTTCCTTTGGTCAAATCCCTTTTCAAAAATAAACAAAGAATCCATAAAAATCAAAATTATTTATATTTATCTTTCATACCTTAATGACTTTGAAAAAAAATCCATTTTTTGTGATTTTGATTCCGAGAGTTTATCTAAAATACCAAAAACAACAATGTTTAATTATGCAAGTTATTTAGAATTTTATTCAAATAGAAATATTGACTCCTGGATTGACACTTGGTATTACCTAATTCACAGGATTAATTTCCGTCTTAACATAAAAATTAAATTAGCTATTAAAAGGATGTTGCTGAGAAGTTGCAAAAGCATCAAATATATTGACATTTTTGAATCTGTAAACTATTCTAGATTATTGCATTCCAATAATATATATAATGTTGAAAATATTTCATTATCATCGAATTTGTCAAAATTAGATTTTTTTTTCTTTTCATCTAAAGATAAGGAAACTTTTAATCAATTTATCATCAAACTTTCAAATCAATGCAAAAAAATTTTATATATGAATGTGTTAGTTAGTGGAGACTCATTTACACAAGAATTATATGATTCTTTAGTAAAATTAATTGAGGCACAAATAAAACTTAAAGAATTTGGATTACGTTTTAAAAATAGAAATTATCTAACTCGACCTCACATAATAAATTTGCAATCACATGTTAATTCTTTAAAACAATTACAATTATTTGAAG